ATAAACTGTTCTTCTAAAAAAAGCAAGCCAACCTCTTGTGGAAGATTACTTAGATATAATTTGTATGCAGGTTGTAAAAGGGGAATTTCCTCCCTGCTTTTGGAAAGTCTGACTGCATTTTAGATTGTCCAGTTCTTGCTGAATGTGTGTACAATTTAGTGCAGCTATCTTTGAGGATAGGTCTTCTATTTAGAACACGTTACAGCATTGCCCTTGATCTGCTGCTCCCTTTTTACTGTTGCAGTGACCCCACAGATCTGTGAAAGCAGGGAATTTAAAAGATCTAGGTGATGTTAGCTGATGGTTATAATCCTTCTTTAATAAGAAGGATTTATTTGTTGAAACTGTTCTACAACTTCAGGATATAAATTTATGACAAAGTACAAGCTTTGTACACTTTCCAGAACCAAGCAGCTCTTATCCAGAAAAAAGGTCAAACGTTCCCTTCTGATATTTGCATCATATTTCTTGAGCATTTTGAAGAGTGGGCTTGTTACATGATTTCCTTGAGGGATTCTGCTTTTGGCTTCTTCTGCAGGTTTCTCTCATCTGTTCTGCTCTGCTTTTGTATCAGCTGTTGAGAAGTTTTTCTATAATTGTCAGTTGCTCTTGTTAGGTGAGCTCCTGATTAATCTCATGACAGCAAAACTATTCACTGGTGACCTGTTGGTGCCTAAACCCCCCTGAAATAGAGAGTTAGAGAAGCATCTTGCTTTGAGTATTAACCAGGGAACCTATTTCCGTGCAACTTTGCTGCCTGGTGAAAAGGAAAAAAAAAAGTATTCCCCCCCCCCCCGATTTGTTTTGGTTGTTTTTTCCTAGAAGGATGATAACCGCCCCCCCCCCAAATAAAAATACAACAACAAAAAATCCCTGGAGATTCTCAAGAGTAATATGTGGAAATGTCATACACATAGCAAATTGTAACTTCATCTGCTTAAAAGAAGAAGAAATTTACAGTGTTAGCTGTCAACAAAATTCCTTTATCCTCTGATAGCCGTCAGCAGTGGTGGTGGCATAAATACCTATCCTAACTCCTGTGTTTATACAGGTTGAGGCATTGAAAAGTTGGAACAGTGTCTCTATGGTTTGGGAAACTGTGTATTACCTCAAATCATTGTGCTTCTAGACATGCTTGTAAATGAAAGTTAAATTAATGTTGTAAAATGACAAATTTGCCTTTTGTGCTGTATGCTCACTTGCTTAAGTGATTTTTGCCTCTTGTTATTGCTAAGAGGAAAAAGTCAAAATATTGCAAATCATTGGTGCTAATAGTATAAACAGTAGGAAAACGTGTAATTTTCTTTGGGATCAGAAAGATAAAGGCAAGAATAAACTTCTAATGAGCTTGGAAAATGTTGATTTTGTATCATACTGTTGGCAGAGTGTATAGACCAATGATTAATGGGTCATAATTGTACTCAATGCTGTAGATATTAGAAGTTGCTTGACTCAGTGCAGAACACTTACTGATTTTCAGAAAGAACTTAGAGAGAATGGAAAATATTCAAATTTTCCTGTTTATTTTAAGACAAGATATTTCACATAAGCTTATGTGCGGTTCATTTCATTTTTTTCCCACAAAATCTCTTGGCTATGCTCTTGCATTCTGGAGAATGATGATAGGTCCTATCAATTTTGTCACAATGCCAGAAAGGGCTTCCAACGACATTTTTTGGGTGGTCATTGAGATCAAGTCTGTATTTTTTTTTTTTAACTATAGACATCATCTGAGGCTGGAGTCAAATTCTCTCTGTAACAACAGAGTAGCGCAGTGCTCACGGAAGAGGGAAGAGTAGAAATAAACAGTTCCTGTGTGTTCATCACAGAGCAGTTTTGGAGTTTTGAGTGTGGGGGGGTTGCAGCTCAGCTCCTCCCTGCCCATCCCAAAGGCCAGGCAAACTCTCAGATGTTGCTGTTCCAGCTGAGCTTCAGTGAGTTCTGAGTCTCCAGTCCACATCTGGGAACCCTAAGATGTGTCTTGGGAGGCTGGGTCTGCACTCGTGTCTGCTGTAATGGGGAGCACGTCTGGAGCGCTGTAACTGAGTACAAACCCGCTGTGCTCATTCCCAGCATCCCAAGGACTCTGCTCCTAAGGACTGGCTTGGTGCTCTTCAAGCGATGCAGTTTAAAGAAACAAGAGTACCCATGTAGGAGCCCACTGATTGTAAAAATGGGTATAGCAATAAAAAGTGCTTATTTGGGTTTATTTACTCATTGTGGGATTTGCAACGGTAGTTCACCATCTAGTATGTGCTTCTTTCAAGGTTTCAGCAGGTTATGGGCAGATGACTTTGCTTGAATGACCACTTTGTATGGGTTTTGTTCTGCTTACGTTGCATGTCTGGTTATATTTTCAATTTGCAGAGTCTGTGAAGTGTTTGATGTATTTGTATAAACAATTTGATTTCTGAAAATATGTTCTGAATTAAATGCCAATGCTGTACAACAATACACTAACAACATTCTGAGACCATTTAAAGCCCTTTGTTTAGTAACACAATGAATGTCATTAGACTGTTACAGTAAGAATGTGAACATTAAAAACAGCTTGTAAAACGAAGAGTTTTTGAAATCTAGAATTATGGGGGATATCAACTTGGAGCATCTGCTTCTGTCTTTAATTTTTGAGTGAAATGTTTTCCTGTTGATTCTTGACAAATGTGTTTCCCATCAAATTGGGCATTCAGGTTTCAGTTTTGACAATCACACCTCAAAAACCAATTTTCAGTGCAAATTTTGAGATGAATGTTGAAAGCGTGAAATTAAAAGTTGCCGTTGTTTTTGTTTGCTTCTGAGTTGTGGTACTTAGGAGTCACGAGTTGCATCTTGCAGTCACACTGACTAGAAACACTTCATTTCCACTAAAATAAAAGCGAGTATTTTCATGGAATTGCATGTCATCAGAATAAAAATAAAAACAGAAACTTCTATAAGAGCATTAGATCTGCTAATATAAACTGTGTACATTTTTCCTCCACTTGCCTCTGTTCCCTGCCATTGTTTGTATTGGCATTTAGTCTGTACTTGTCCTTTGCTGCTGGAGTAGTCCAAGTTTTACTGAGCTGCTCAGTATAAACCTCATCCTGAGAGCTGGACCCTGTGAAGGCACATGAAGCAGAAATACAGGTGTAGCTCAGGAATGCAGGGGAACCTGCCTGGGATCTGTCGCTCAGATCACATTCAGACTTAACAAAAACAGGAGCTAGAGAGGCTCGGGAGGGGCTGCGCCCGTGTTCTCTGACTCCCCCTTTTCCTCTTTGCCTGTGCCAGTTATGCTTCCCTGTGTCCTGTCCCAAAGCTGTTCTGATTGTGTGGCAAGGCTGTTGGCTTGTGGCTAGAGAAGTATTTCCAGGTGTGCTGTCTACAAAGAAGAGTGCTCCGAAGCTCAGAGGGATAGAAATCTTCCATTGGGAACCCCTATTGCAGGGATTTATGCGCTATTTATATCTCCTTTTTCTTTGAAGCACTATAAAGTTTGGTGTGTTTGTAAAATTTTCAAGATCATTTTAACTGTTCCATTGTATAGTTTTGAGTGTGGTTCATTATTTTCTTTTTTCCCAATTGTTTCAAGATTGACAACTGAGACAAACAGTGCCACTCAGAAGAAAATAATTACAAACATTCTGTCTCCTTGAAAAACAGGTCTATACTTCGCATCTATGTGTGAAGTTTTGCAGTCAATAGAAAATGATACCAGTTCATGTGGAGCATTTGATAAATTGAATTTTCTTGATGTATCAACTACTTATTTGTTGTTAATAGTGTTGAACCATGAATAATTTACTGGCTTTCACTTTATAATCTGCAGTGTCTGCTAACTTTGAAGTTCAGTAGTCAATTTAAAGTTTGCAGGAGCTGAGTAATGATTCACCAGAGATTTTTGTGAGATATTTTGTCATCCATTTAAAGCTTGGAAAAGTCTGCTCTTGCAGCCATCTGGCAGTTCTTGGTTCTCTGGAGGAAAGAGAAGCCTTTTGATACAATAGATCAAAGCATTCTGCTTTTTCAGTGACTGATACCTATAAGTAACTTAGAAGTTTCTCAAAGTTATTTCACAATGCCTGTCTCATTTGCCAAGCTTTTGTATTGTAGCTACAATACAATACTGGCCATGAATTACATTTTAATTGTATTTGAATCATTATTTAGAAATTTCTGTTTGCAGCTGATTTACAGATCCAAGTGTTTTTATTAACCAAGAGGTTTTAAGTTTACCAAATATGCTGTTATGATTAATAACATTGATGCTAAATCTTGTTGCTCTTAGTGCTAATGGTTTAGGTAAGGGTACTCTCAGCAACTGTACTTGTGCTACACCATAAGCCTGACATATGGGTGTACCTGTCAAGGAATTTCAGAAATAGCTGATGTGTCTTGGCATGTGGCCTGTGTCATCCTAACTGTATATAGTCCTTAGTAACAGGTGAGCCTTATTACTTAACCATGCAAAGTACAGGTGACAGATGTGGTAAGTACCAGATATCCACTGACAAGTCCTTCTGACTTGCTGTTCTTTACATTAGGCGGCTTGGAGAAAGGAGAATACTTCTAAGATGCTGAATTTTTAAGTACTTAATAGTACTAGATACTAATACTTAAGTACTAGATAACTAATGTGGTACCAGATTTTCAGAAATAGAATGATGTGAATTTAGCGAAGGAATAGCTAATTTTTCACACATTAAAATTTGCTTGAACTTAGATTTAAAAGTGGCATTTAGATAGCAGAAGAAAATTCCACATACTTGTGCTTGTCATATAAGCATTTCAGTGAGCTATCCAGGATAGGTCTGGTGCTCTTTTGTTAAGTCCATAAACAATGATAAATTCGTAATTCCATACTTCACAAAGTTCCATGATTTAATGTTCTGCCTGCTGTAACTCTGGATCAGCTGCATGTGCTTACCTGACTGTTTATCTCCCTGTCTGCTCGACATGTGCTTCCTAGCAGCTACAGTTCAACATGTTTTTTCTTCTTTTTTTTTTTTTTTTTCCAGTGTGGGAACTTTGCTGTCTTGGTGGATGTTCATATTTTGCCTCAAGGCTCCATTAAAGACACCAGCTGGTTTTCAGATCATGAGAAAGAGGTACAACAAATATCAATTCTACTTCAAAAGTGTATGGCTGCAGGGAAAAAGTTGGTTTGCCTTAAACTGTTTGGGATTTTTTAGTGTTAGGAGAATATTGTTAGTTATACCTAACCATCAGCGGTTGCCATGGGACCCCTAAGTCAACCATATGTGCTTTTTGGGTCACAGCACATATGACCACTTTAAATTTGCTTTTTAATTTTTAAACTCTGTGTGTGTGCACATTCATGCATGCATGTATGCTGTGTGGATTCTTCTGACTTAACTTTTAATTGAAAAATATGTTTCTCATGAATGCTTGCGAATTATCCTGAGTGATATAAACCAGATTGTGGCAGGGATGATTTTTGTTTTATGAAATATCTTCCTAATAATTTTTTTTCCTCATTCTGAGAAGTGTAAATGACGTTGCATTTAGAGGGTGCAAGAAAACATAAATATGCAAGATAAACTGTAGTAGAACTGTTGCCTCTTATGAAAAGAAACTTCCATTATTTTTAAATGTGTCATGTGTATATCCTGATGAAATAGTGGAAAATCGGTGAGCAGCAAAATTGTGTCTGTGACTTTGATCAGACTGTGGAGAAATGGCAGAGGATCTTGTGCTGCGTTGCTGGCAGGAGCTTTCCCCTGTGTGTGGGAACGTGAGAAGTTCCCTGTTGAAAAGGAAGGCAGGACGTGTTTGGGATGCCTGTGGACTTTCCCGCAAGTCTCCCTTACGGTCATTTTCAGCAGATAGCTTCCCTAATAATGCCATCATTAACTTGTCACTGCACAGCTCCCCAGCCATCTCACAGTCGTACATTTCAATGGAATTAAAGGAACAATGCATTAATATCCTGAGGGAGCAAAAGCAGAGTATTTAGCAGCATGTGGTTCATCTGATTTGTGCTTTATGAGGCAGAGAAATAAGAAAATAGGGAAAATCGTTCAGATATATTGTTAATGACTAAATGAATGCTCATTACCTTTTCTATTTATAGCCAGTTTTACTCTCCTGGTTATCTGAGTTTTAAACGTTTTCAAAATGTATTTTGTAAGACTGCCAAAACAAAAGAGATTAATTTCAGGAAATTAACTCATGATTGATTTAATAAAGAGGCATGATAGGACAGTATTCAGTGCATTTCTGTGACTGCATGTTTCAAGAGAAGTACAAAGGTTGCATATTTTCAGCAACTGAGAAGTGTGAGTCAAATAGCTTTGCAATTCACTTCCTGAAAGTCCTGTGCAGAATCTCTGTGTGAGAGAAGAAAAGGTCCTAAAGAAAGATTATTCCGACATCTTTTATGAGAGCTTTTACATGTTCATCGCAGTGGTTTTCTGAATTTTTGTTGTTTCCAAACTCTGAAAAATGCTGGTGGTGGTGCAGCCCTGTCTGCCTGCCTGTGGGAAATGTGGATGCCTCTGTAACAAACACAGTTCCTGCTGATCCCCTGCTAACCCTGGCTGCAAGTCATCGGCTGGAGCACAAGGATGCTGGTGATGCTGTCCCCGCGGCCCTCTGGCTGCTGGCTCCTTGGAGCTCGTGCAGAGGGCAGGCTGGAGCAGCACCAGTGCCCAAGGCATGGCCCTGGTGTGAGGGAATACAGCTGGGTGTTGGAACGACCATCATGGCACGCTGCTGTGGCCAGCTGCGTGTGCAGGATTCTTGGGATTGCTGTGAGATGCTGCCCTTCCAATTTCCTTGCCCTTTCTTTCATACCCCTTTTCTCCTGGAAGGGCAAAGTCAAAGTTTTATCTTTGCTCTCTGAGGTCTGTATGGTTCTCTGTGGGGAGCCATTTAAATAACATTTCCATAAGGCTAACAAGTAAAATATGTTCCATGTAAATGAAGGAAGTGCAAGGTAATGTTTATTGCTGTGGAAGGAACCGAAGACACACCATGTGTCTGCTGCTTTCGAGACCTTCTCGTTCTAACCCCAGCACAGGCCCATGAAGGAATGTGTAATGGGAGCACTTTAATGAGTTAAACAGAAGGACAAGCAAATACAGAAACGTATAATTGTGCTCTACAAGCAGTAAGGAAAATGGATTTCTTACTACAAAGACAAAATGCTGGTTGGGATTGACTAATGTATATGCCCTGCTTTCATTTAGAGCAATGCATTAAAAAAAGTATTGTTCTGAGTACTTTCTACATTACTCAAAAGGAAATTTCAAGGCAAGACAGTTTAGATACTATTATATAATTTTATCTATTACCCTAACACATTACAGAGGTAAAATTATATTTTTGTGTGCCACAGAGTATCATTGCTGTGAGCACATAGTTATGAACAGAGGAAAGTGAGAATACTGAGGGAAAAGTCTCAAGTGTGTGTGTGTATTAAGCTTAAAACTTATTCTGGTATTCAAGAGATGATTTTTTGGTTTTTACTCTGAGTATTTTTTTTTCTGGGTAATTCTGGCAGAAGGTTTTGTTCTTCCTGAGTTGTATGTGGTTTTATTGTGCTTTGTTGAAGAAAGTATGAAAGATATGAACAGTTATGTTTAGGGGCAGAAAAATCTAAATTGATTAGAGCAATTGAGTTGCTGTGACCTAATTTGCTCAGTCTTACCCACCGCCCTGTCCCCCCCAAATTACTCAGAATTGGAGCAAAATATCTGTTGTGGTTTATAAGAATTGTTACACAGAAATAGTGTGTTGACAATTCCTGAGAGGATTTTTACTAAAATTTTGCTTAAATACCTAATGTTGTGATACATTTTTAACATGTATTTTTTTCCTGCTTTGCATGCATATGAAACTAATTTCTGATTTTAAAAAGTTAGTATTGTAATATAATGTATTTCATCTGCCAAGTAAGAATTTCATAATATACTTCCTCTTTTGTTCTTTAGAAAAATTGTTTGATTCCCGTCCTTGTTCCCATCCATTTCCTAATTCATGTGCTTCTCCTGTCAAAGTTTTTCCTTTTAATGGGAGAGGGAATAATTTTGTATTGGTTTCTGCTGTGTGCCTGTGGGCATTTCTGTAAATTTAGATCAAACCAGGCCAGTGGTTTCTCTTTCAGGAGGTCTGCAAGCTGCTAGAAGAAGTTGTTGCTTCAAGGGTCAAACACTACTTGGAGGCACCTAAGCAGCGTGGTCAGTGGAAGCCCACGGAACAGGGATCATCTGGGCCTTTGTTTCTTACTGGTAAAAGAAATTATTTCACTTAGTGTGCAAGAAAGTGCCATGGAAAATACTGTTCTTTATTTTTTCTGTGAAAAATTTGCCATCAGCAAGGCCTGAAATAGTTGATGTTTTGGTCTGGAATTACTTCAGCTATGTTAGTGAAAAAATTAAGTGGATTTTAATTGATTTTAATTTTCTGTGTTGCTTAAAAGTGAATATAATGCTGTACTATTAGTCTGAGAGCCTATCATTAGAACTAAAAAAAATTATTTATACCTTATAAAAATTATTTAGCCCTTGGTCCTGCAAAGTTGGTTGAAATCTTGCTGGTTAGTTAAATCTCTTTTCCACTCACCCATTTAGTGTAGAATTTTTAAGTACAGAAATAATATCTTCTCCTTTTACTTTTGGCAATCTGTTCAGTCTTAAAAAGTTGGTGTGATGTGATAAATGGCGTTTGTCATTTCACCAGTGCTACTGCAGGCCTGGCAGCAGCACCCGTGACCTTGGGAGTACAGAGATTAAGAGCCTTCACCCATTTTTTGTGTGTGTCAGGGTGTTGAGGCCAGCAGGTGCCATTTCAGTACATCCACACTTTAAGCTAGAGATCCTGATCAGTTTAGCTTGGGCCTTACTGCTAGATCAGCTTTGGGGCTAAATGGCTGCCAGTTTTTGTTAAACACCGTTTCATTGTTAGCGTAATGCTGGGGTTTACAATTGTTAGGCTTATCTGTTGGTCTTATATCATACCAGCAATTTATCTTTAAATAGCTCTTAGGAAAAAAATTACTGGTGTTTGTTACTAGCCTGGAGCAGGTTACAAACTTTTCTCAGAAAAGAGGGGCTGCAGTAGTAAAGCTCTGTGCTGGCCATGCAGTGCATGTGATTACATACTTACATTGGATCATCACTGTGCTCATAAATTTTACAATTCAACATCTATTATATGAACAGGTTCAATTGGGAACAAGTTCTTTGCCTCTTAAAATGCTTTCCATTGTTGAAAAAGGTGTATTCCTATAGAATGCTGATTGGTGGTTACAGCTTTACATGCTATTGTCAATAATAATGATAAAAGACAGGTTACATACTGTGTGGCTTAATATTGCAAAACTTTAGGCATATATGGGGGCCAGGTTCTTCTGGCATGACATGGGTTGTTTGCCACCTCTCAAGAACACAATGCCACATAAGCAAGACGTGCTTCAGGCCACTAAAAGATTTCCAAACCCTTTTCTTCCTTGCAAGTTGTAACTACATTTTATCCCTTTAAAATATTATTATTGTTTGTGAAGCACATGGACTTTCAGACCCCTGTACTTTTCTGATTGTGAGTGAGCATTACGGATGGTGGGATCAGAATTTCTAAGATCTGTTGGGGTTTTTTCTGTGTTTTCTTTTACGAAGGGATGTTTTTTATTATTTATTTTTAAAGTTTCCTGCCCTAATAAAAAGTAGGTTTCGAAAAAATTATGATTTTATAAGGTAAAACTGCCAGACATAATAGTTGTTTTTATCTACGTGCGTAGATACAGCACTAATTTAAGTGTGTTTGTTAGAATTCAGGATCTTCTTTTTCCTTTCATATCGTGAACTTTTCAGTAAAAATACTGGTGTGCTGTCCCAGGGTTGGGAGCTGATCTTCTGCTTGACTCTTCCCCTTGTTTCCTGAAAATTAAAAACTTAGGGATATGCATTTGAGGAGGTCATCAGTAATATCAGTGGCAGTGTTGGATTAAAGGATATTTACTTTGGATGAGGCAGAATGACTGTTCCATCAGTTTTCTGCAGTTAATCTCACCGTCATTAATTAACAATAAAGAACTAAAGGAAGAAAACAGGCTGTGATAACGAACATTCATGTTCAGCTTCACTTCCAAAGCCAACTCTTTCTTTTTCTCTCAGCCTGCTTTGCTCAAGGCTGTAATTTGTGAGAAAGGAGTGCTTTGTTCAAGCCCAAGAATCAAGTTTCTTCAAGTTCCCTTGGAGTCTGTTCTTACCTGGGAAGGAAATAACAGAATAGGTGGGTGTTCACTGGGGCAACGGGCCCTGCCTCTAAGGACTGACCCTTCCAGGTGAGCCCCAGGGCCAGGGGCTGCAGCAGCTGCCTCTTGTGCTGTGCCTCCTCTCCGGGATCACAGGCCCCGTTTGGGGCTGCGGGGGGTTTGTGTTGTGCTCACAGATGAAGTGCTTGGCTGGCAGGGTCTGTACCACACAAAGGAGTGCAGGAGCCCGGTGTGCTCCGCGGCGGTGCTGCTGGGAAAAGGCTTCAGCTGCAGCTCTTGTTGCCTTGGGAGCTTAGGAAGAGTTTCTGAGCTCTTCAAGCTCTGTGTGCTTTCTTCTGCTCCAAGTTATTCAAGTCTGCGTGGAGTTGCACTGCTGTAAACCCCCTGCTCTTGCAAGGAGGTGTGTACCTACAGAGGGATCCTTCACAGGATTATTAACTGCTTGCTTACTCTTTGCAGTGTCCCAGGTCAGCAGTCAACCCCTGGCTGTAGTTGCATCTTTTCAAGTCAATTTTAGCTAGTTTGCTGTACACACTGCAGGATGTATTCAACATTTCTTGAAAAGAGAATTATTAGACCAGTATTGATAAGATTTTAGACTACCTTTAATGTCAAGGCATGTTGTATTAGGTTTCATTTCAGAGCTAGAAGCCAAGCTACCTTAGACTTAAGTCTTCTACTTCCTTACTACTTACAACAATTTGAAGAGAAAATTTTCACCTCTCACAGCTTCTTTTTAGTACTAACATTATATTATGTTTAATACTAATACTGACACTACCTTTCATTTTTCGTGACACTTAATGCAAGTTACTTGTTAATTTACATTTCTTTTTCATTTGAGTTACACCCACACTGCAGTGTGTGGTGGGTCGCATACCAGCTCATTAGGAAATCTGTGGGTGTTACACGCAGGAGAAGAAAGAAAGAAGGAAAGAATGGAAAAATGAGAGAAAGTAGCCAAGACAAGCAAGTTCTTCCTATTCTTCCTTCTGTCTGAACAATTTCCACACCCTTCCCAAATGGCCAGTATGAACAATTTGCCAAAGTAAGCTTTAATTTAGTCTTTGGACCTAGGCTTTGGTATAAACTCCCTGTTTCTTGTGTTTAATTAATATCCAAATATGTTTGACTTTGGTTTATTTTATTTTTTTAAAGAGAAATTTAAAATGGGGTGGATTTTCAAAGGCTGAATTTTGCCTGCATCCAATCTGCATGGCCAAAATCAGGCAAGAAGGGCATCGGCCAGGTATGGCTTGTGATTGCATTATTTGAAGTTTCATGTTCCACAGAAAATGTCTGGTTTTGATCAAGAGCAGTGAGAATTAAGAGGAGACTACAGAGGTCTGAGTAGAGATATTAAATACAGGAGAAATGCCAAAGGGAGAACTGAAAACAATAAGGAAGAAGGTAAGGTTTACATGGGCTCAGAGGAAACAATAAGGAGAAGTGAAAAAAAAAATGTGGCTGATAGAAATGTCAATGTTAGAAATGGAAGGAAGGAAGAAGGTACGTTGTAAACTGACCTTCTTCCCCCTCTTGAGGGAGGAAGAAGTTAACTATGTTTTTCCTACAAGTAATTTTCAGACCTACTCTCATTCCTTCCCTAGCATCCTTGCTGTTTTTCTTGGCTTGAGGGTGGGACATTTTTGCTCTGATTTCAGATCTTTTTATTGTACAGTCTCTTCTACAGTGAAAATAATTAGAGAGCATGCTGTCACATGGCACAGTGAGCTCCCAGCTTGATTTTATCTGCTTTCCCTGGGACTCTGTGTACTTTTTAATATATTTTTAGCTTTCTTCTCTCATGAAATGGGGCTCAATATGATCATGTTTCCTGAGTCCATCTTTTCACCCAGTTGATTTTTGTGAATGTGGCTGTACTTAATTAACAGGTAGAAGTCTCAGACTTGAAACTCTGACATTAACTTCTGACAAGCTTACTAAAATGAGAAGAGGTACAAGAGCTGTTATGAGTAGTTCAATCTTACAAAGATCTGGAGTCAAAGTTCATGTCTTACTTAGTATAAAGAAAAACACATAAGATGCAATTTCATAAGAAAATACATTTCTCTTGCTTATGAAACAATTTTCTTGGCTCCTGCAAGCACAGTATACAATAAATCATGATGGTAAATATTCCAAACTCTTTTGGCCTTGCATTTTAATTTGAACATTATGATGTTTTTAAGGGAAACACCCTTTTCAGACTGCCCCAGTTTGCTTTAGGAGTGTTCGCTATTGCTGTAGGACATGAATTGTGGGAAATGCTTGTAGGGTATGTCCCACACTGTAATCCTGTAACAGCAAAACTGATGTATTCCCACCCTCCCAGCTGTTCACTCGTGCTCCTCTGCTGTGAAACTGTTTGGTTGGGTTTGAACCAGAATCTTTTCACTGGCCTTGCTTGAACAGCAGCTCTACAACGCTTCGATGGGTGCTGCCATAGGGGTCTGGGCAGGAGGCTGTCCTATGAACTTTGAGCTTTGGAGTTGCACATTGTAATAGCTGTCTCTCGAAAGAATTACATTGCAGCTTCTCTGCAATGGACTCATTCATGATTTGTGGCCAAGGCCTGCAGATCTGTGTGAACTTTAAACTTACATTCATCTGTCTTTGACAACAGAGCTCCGTGAAGTATGCAGTAACTTATGCAATAACTTATGAAAAATGTTTTGATTAGTATCTTGTACTTAAGATTTCCTGGTTTGGCTTTAGATTACTTCCCTTCCCCCGCCCCCCCACCCTGTTTTTTACAGCCAGATAATGGGGAATAAGGGTATCTTTTTTTAACCAAATCATTCTTCTTCTAGAGATCAAGGTTACGTATCTGAACTCTTTTTTTTTGTCATTTTGTTCATTTCTCAGGGTAATGGGCATTTGACAAGAACAAAAGAAATGTCTGTATTTACACACTCTTTGGGTGTTTTCTTTTTTTGTGATTTTTTTTCCCCTATCTTACCTTAGACTGTAATACAATAGAATTGGGCAAAATGCCAAGGGCAACAGAGATGG